GCCGCTGAAGAAATTTAGGAGGATTGACCAATTCACCCAGTTGAAGATACTCTTTCTTAGTGGTTGTACTTAGATCCAAACTATTAAGATTCTTCATCTTTTCAATAGATTCGCACAAGTCTCTGCTAAATTCTTCCGGGATCCCAGTAAGTCCCAGCTTCCTGAGTTGGCTCAAATTTTGTAACTCCCGTATGATCCTACCACTTTTGCAAACCTTCACAAGAGACAATGCCTGTAGATTAGTTAAGTTTTTAATCCCTTCAAACACCTTAACTCCTCGTATAGAGTCAAAATCTGTAAAATTCTTCACAGTTTTTTTGCTAGCGAAGAGATGCCGGAGATTCTTCAGGACACGGATTTTTTTTGGAAGCTGGATCACATTAGTCCGCTTAAGATCCAATGTTTCAAGGTAATAAAGCTTCTTTATGGACTTGGGAATCACCTCTATTTCAGTATCCCTGAAACTAAGATACTTTAGGAGGCCGAGATGAACAAATTTTTTTGGAAATTCTTTCAGAGTTGAACCTTGCAAGTCCGAGATTCTTAGCAATCTGAAATCCTGAAATTTGTTTTCAATAGCAGTGAGAGAACTATTGTCGTTGCTGAAGAGGAACATGGAACGAACACCAGGGAAATCCATCTGAATGTTCCTTGACGAACAAGTGGAAGCACTCTGAACAGATAGGCGACGTACTTTCTGGTTTGGACTGTTTTGCTTTGAGAAAACTGATACAAAATTCTCGTCCTTGCATTTCTGAACAATAAATTCACGCAAAAGGTTGAGAACTCGACAGTTTTTTGGTCGACCATCAAAATTCCTTCCGGAAACATGAACCAAATTCCTCATAATCAGTTGGTTAAGATAGTCCTCGGCTACCTCTTCAGCTGTTTTCCCATCTGTTTCCATCACAAATCTTTCCGCTACCCACAAGCGTACGAGCCTCCCACAATCAACAGAGTAATCTTCCGGGAAAATGCTGAAGTACAAGAAACAACTCTTAAGATCACTTGAGAGATCCTTGTAGCCAGACAACAGCACACTCCCAATACCTGACAGATAGGAACTACTTCCAATTTCATATCCAAGGCCGGCGTGAAATTTCTCCCACACATCTGGATACTTGGGTTTCTGTGATAGCACAGCACCTACTGCCGAAATAGCAAGGGGTAGTCCTTCACATCTTTTCACAATTTTGTTAGAACAATCCTTCAACTCTGAAGGACATTCCCCATTGCTATCGTGGAAGGCCTTTTTACAGAAGAGTGTCCAAGCATCTAGCCATTCCAGACCATTCAGGTTATGTATAAATCGGTTTGAGGATGCAAACGAAGACGCCACGTCATGAGCCCTGGTGGTAACAATTATTCTGCTACCAAAGACATCATCTGGCAGAGCATTCATAATGCACTCGTAGTGTTCTACTCTCCAAATATCATCTAGAACAACAACGTAACTCTTTTCCATCAGGTAATTTCTTAGATTAGTCAGAATATCTCCAGCTTCACGGTGATATGGTTCCTTTCTAGATGTACGAAATTGATCTAGCATACCGCTTAAGAGTTCCTTGACATCAAAGTGCCGAGACACATGAACCCAAGCATGGCAATCAAATTGTCCAAAAATGTTTCTTTTCCAGAACACATTCTTTACGAATGTCGACTTCCCAGAGCCACCAGGGCCGACCACAGCTATTCTGACTAGTCCCTTTTCTCCCCCCGAAGGTGTTGGAATGATGCGATCATCTATCAATTGACGAATAAATTCTTCCTTGGGTTTTTTATACCCAACCAGTTCATCGTCAAGGAGAAGAGGACTCAATTGAACTCGAGCAGTGCTTGTGCCAGAACTCCTTGTATCTCTTGAAGGGGGGTATCCAGCGGGATCGAAGATTCTCATTTGTGAGCCCATAAGTTCGATAATTTTGTTGATGCTTGTGATCTTGTCGGAGATCTCTCGAAGAGGATAGCCATGCTTGATATTATGGCTCACCTTGAAAGATTTCCGAATGATTTTATTGCTGCGAAATTCATACATGCTGTGCAGGGAAACATCCTCAAGAACATCCTCCATCTCATAAGCAATGTCTCGAACTTGTTCGACTTGATCTTTGCGCAACCTACTGCCGTGCTCGATAAGGTCGTCATTATCCTCTATGAAGGCCTTCATCCTCCTCAACAAACGTATGATATTCTCAATTTTATTCTTCATATCACCTTCATCACGATCACCTTTCTTGCGATTAAGGTGTAGGCTGATGGCCGGGAGCGCCATCTGAAGTGAAACAAATGCTGAAGAAATAGCAGTTTCTGCCATGATTGTTGCTTCTTCTTTGACGTCAGAGCGGAGGATCCTTTGTGCACCACCGTGGAATTGAGACAGACGAGAGAAAAAAGCACGAGAAATTACCGAAACTCTTGCGCTAAAAAACGAAAAGGAACTGTGTTCAATAATTTATTTTATGGCAACGATCTCTCCAATGGGATATCATTTTTATTTATACAGCAACATATGCTTGAGGTGATCGATGTCATTATCATACACCGTGTTTAGGTCTTTCCGTCGCCATACAACATTTACAACTCGCTTTGTGGAAATCGAGAGACACACGAAGATTCCTAATGAGTTGAACGAGGAAAAGTAAACATATTGACTATGTCGAGATTCCAATACAAAGTACATAAGGAGAAATATTTCAGTAGAACGGTCGTATAAAGACTTTGTCATAGATCCTTGCAAACTATGATTTTTTTAATTTTTTATTTTTCCCTCCAAACGCTGATAAATAAAATGAAACCAAATAAGTTTGCAGTTCAAGGTTAACAAGAAATAAATCATTACAATTTTCTTTTTTTGGCATACAAATTTGTTCAACTCTAAATATAGGAAAACCTCAATAAGTGAATGTTCGATAAATTGATGATCTTGTTTAAACAATAAAATTCTTAGATCCCAACTTGAGTCAGTGTATTAAATTAATAACCCTGTTAAATGCACAAGATAATAATTTCTTTTAGATCCTTTAAGGCCAAATGAATATATAAAATAATAATTGCTTAAATTTATAAAAGTTCATAATTATACAAATTAACAAACTTTTAATTTTCAACATTTTTTTGTTAATTCGCCTCTTTCAAAAATACGCATCTAAAGTCTTTTTGTGTGCTCACAGATAAAAATTTAAAATTTCACCACATTCATATTTTTTTTTCCTATATGTATTATGGTAAAATATAATACAAGTTATACAAATATAAGATAATTTATAAATTAATAAATTCTTCATTTATCGATAAATTAATAATCTTTCTAAAATGATAATTTTTCTTGATCTCAACATTATTATTTTTATAGAGGTTTTGCTAAATTAAAATTATAAAATATGGCATTTGACATGAGTTCAATACCAAACATTGAGATGAGTCCAATCTGTAAGCCTGACAAAATCCTCCTTTACAACGAAGATCACAAATTATTGTCTCTATTGGGCAGTTTCACAGAAAGTTGAGTTAAAGGATTTAGTTGGAATTGAACAAACTTTGACCCCAAATGTATACATTGAAATCAAAATATAATTTTTATTTTTTTTTAATAACGATTTTCAAAACAGTCCAACTCGTAATAATTTTATCCAACAGTTTGTAAAAATAAAAATTAGAAATTAAAAAATTAAAGGCTACATATATGTTCATAAATAAAAAAAATGTATGTATATGTAAAAAAATATGAAGTAAATGTGTCACTTAATGAAATTTTTCAATGTATACTTTTTTGTATGTTTTTACTCATAAGTGATATTTTACCTATAATTAAATTTTTATATATAAGTTAATTTTTAATTTAAAAGTGAATTTTTTACATATAATTTATAAGTAATTTTTTACTTATAAGTAAATTTTCAGTTATAAGTTAATTTTATATTTATAGATAATTTTTTTACGCAAATGAATGATCTTACAACTTTTATAAAGGTGAATTTTTATCTTACTAGTAGTATTTTTTTTTTTACTTTATAAACAATTTTTTACATGAAATAAATTTTTGTCTTATAAGAAATTTTTTTAGTTATAAAGTTACTTTTGCTTATAAATTACTTTTTTAATTATTATATTTTTATTTAATCAAAAAAATAATGTATAAGAAAGAAAACGTGAATTAATTATTTTGTCTATAAGAATTACGTTTAAGATAATCAACTAGAATAATTTGTAACTGGGAGAATATTTCCAAAGCAAAATAACAAATATCTTTTGGTTTGGACCAAAAATTATATGACAGAAACGAGAGAAATGTTCAAGTCCACCGATTTTACGTCCATAAAAATGTTGAATTCGATCATGTAATTTCCACGAAATACTTATCAACTATTGTATTTAGAAAAATGAGTCAATCAAAATAACCAAAGAACTGGTCCTACAAAAAAAAAAATAATAATAATAAAGACAGGAGACTGAAAAGTCCCATAAAAAACAAAATACTTTTGAATCTCAAAAGATAATTTTCAATCTCAAAAGTACAACAAATATGATATTTTATCACACAAAATCATAATCAACAAAAATAATAATAATAATAATAATAATAATAATAAAATTATTCTTTTTATCAGCTGTATATTGATAAATTGATCAAATAGAAATTCATAGTGTTACTTTTTAAGAATCAAAAAAATTTGTGCCTAAATAATGGATGCTAAGAAGAACAATAGGCATGGATCTTAAAGTACTATTTCGGCTAAGAAGAACAAAGGGCATGGACCTTAAAGTACTATTTTGGCTAAGAATTAATTTATTTGTACCAAATATCTTATCTAATTTTTGACCGAATTGACAAGTGACTCCCCCCTCTTGGAGGGGCGCCTGTCCAATCCAATAAGGACGCAACACTTGTCAATTCGATCATTCATTTGGTAAATGATTTGATACATATAGCATCTTTGCAAAGGACGAAGCAGCAGCCAAAATAGCAAGTAAAATTAAAAATTTCATAGTTACAGAAACGCTTCACAATCGAGAAATATTAACAAAAATACAAAAGCCAAAAATCAACAAGAGTCCACGACCCGATTAGTGATTTAGTACATATAGCATCTTTGCAAAGGACGAAGCAACAGCCAAAATAGCAAGTAAAATTAAAAATTTCATAGTTACAGTAACGCTTCACAATCGAGAAATATTAACAAAAATACAGAAGCCAAAAATCAACAAGAGTCCAAGACCCGATTAGTCACAACCATTTTCTAAAATGGGAAGCATCCTTCTTGTAAAGTGTTAATATTGACAAAAAAGCCAGTGAATTGTATACACAGCAGCTTCTTCACCTCTGCATATCAAGAATTGCTAGCATCTGTCTCAACCATTCTGATCTCAAAACGCTCAGGTGGCGTAGCTCTTCCAAAATATCAATATAACCGCTCAAGGGTCGTCCACGGACTTCACAGGTGTATCTTTCAAAACCGAGCCTCAGAGCATCATTAAGAGAACCACGAACATCATAACCAATCCTTCCAAACGTTTGCTCTACATGATTAAGATAACCACCGAATATTCTCCTGCATTCATTTCTAATGGACGAGTGCCGTGTTAGTCCATTGTGCAAAGGCATGTCATTTGTAAATGTAAACGGACAAGATGGAAGTCCTCTATCAAATAATGCTGCTGGCTGATGTTCAATCTGGATTGGGATCTCTTGATATTTTACAGTTACTAAGTCTAACTTCCTCTTCCGTACCCTCGCCAATTTTGTAGCCCCAGCAGTGCAGAGCATGAACTTGAAGGTACTGCACTTACCCAATGGAAATGGCTCGTCACACTTGGAACCTGCTCCCTTTTTATTGGTGTAACCTGGGTAGTCCTCAATTTTGAAATCAGCACATTCAATCAACTCTAAAGCATAATTTGATGCAAGATCCTCAATTTTCCACTTGTTGAACGGATACGTCGTCTTGTGGCTAACATGTATTTCGCCATTTTCTTGCAACATGTCACGAGCATTCCTAAAAAATTCACAGACAAGATTCGTGTGCAACCTGCAAATAAGATTTACGAAAGCATAATCCTCTAACCTGTACAAGAAAAATACTAAAAGAATTGCAGCAGAGAAAGTGATGATCACTTGTGCAGTCACAGTGATTTTGAACTATGTCATAATGAGAAGGAAACTAATAGAGCAACCCAACTAGGAATGGTTAAACTATAGATAGCACAAACTGTGAACTTCAGCTTATTTTCTTCATTGAGAGATACATAGACTTACTTGATAACTTTGGGCTTGTGTTCTTTCCCATGGAAACCTGCGTGAGGAAAGTTATAAATAATTCGGTCGAATTTCCGTTTTTCAAGACCTGGATGAAGCTTCATTTTCTTTACATCCACTTCATGTAAAATGGAAGCCCCATTAAATTTCAAAGCAAACAGATTTGCGTTTGCATTCTTGTACTTTATGATTAACTCACCTGTTTGAACAAAAGGAATTACTCGGACATTAGATAGCCCACAAAAAATTGAAAGGTAACAGTGATCAAAGCACAAGAAATAGATTAAAGTTAGCTAAAGGACATACAAACAAGTGAAAAAGCATTAACCTCGAGGAAACAAAAAACCACAGAAGTAAGAAGCATTTTACATTCAAGAGCAGTTGTGGGTTCCAATAAATTCTTTGAACCATATGGACCACAGAATATATTATAAACAAGCAAAAATAAAATAAAATTAAGAACAATCAATGAAAGCACAAAAACATCAGGTAAACATGTGAATCCATTCACAGATTCCCTCAGTCCCTCGGCAGAACATAGAACTACAGAGAGAAAGAAGTAGAGAGTAAACCAATCTAATGACGCCGTTTCTCAAGAAAAAGAAAGGGGAGTAAGGGCAAACCATAGGAGTCGAGGGAAGAAGCAGTAATGTTGGATGCAGTGCCAAAACCGAGAGCCAAAGACAAAGAAAACGAAAAGTCTCCTTCCCCCACTAACAGTATTTGATGAAGCGATGAATAGTGTTTGATCCATTTTTCTTCCTCAGTTTCCATACTTTCTTTCTGGTTTACTAGTATCCAATGAAGACATGGATCTATTCTTGATGAAGAGAGAATTAAACAGGTGTTCACCTTATGCAATTATTTGAAAGGACGTTTCAAAAGAATGGCGTGGATTGCATCGCCATTCTCGAGTAATGGGTTTGATGGGGCGTGTGGTTTGGACATTGGGTGATTTTGTCGTAACGATTTTTCGGTTCTTACTAAGGAAAAAATGACTTGGACAGTTGGACCTTCAATATAAATAATAATTCCAAATTTGAATAAATATATAAAATATGCCCTTCTTCCATAAATATTAAAATCAAATTTTTAGTATATTTTGATAAAAGTCGATGAAATATGTAATTAAAAAATTATGAGACCGATAAAATTTTGTAGCTAAATTTAATTGTTGGCAAGCGTTATATATACCTATTCCATAAAACCAGAACTTACTACGCTGCATTTTTATGAAAAAACATTGTACCTCAAAAATTTCAAGGCATAATGGTCAATAACACATTGGTGGAGAATCTGTTATTGATATGGAAATCATTGATCTCGTCGGAAATGTGGATATTTCACCATTTTTGTTCATCATATCTTTAGCATTCTTCAAGAACTAACTCACCATTTTCGACTTCTATGCTTTCTTCGAATGAAGAGAAAACAAAGTAGTTTAACAACAGACGTACATATGAAATTACAAATAACTAACAAATAAAAACTATATACACTACATTACTTTTTCATATTTTAACGACACTCAGACATCACCAAAATTGGACTATGTCCCATTCCTTAAAGATACACGAAATCTATTTGCCTACATTATCAAGTAAATTAATTAACACGCTGAACTTGAGCCTCTTCTAAGCCCAAACTTGTACGTTTTGCTTGGGTAACATAAAAAATTATCGTTACGACCAAAGCCACATTTGGTGCGATAACCTGGATAATCAAAGTGACTAAATTTCGCAGCCTCGATCAGTCCAAGTCCATAGGAAGAAGCCATGGATTCTAACTTCCATTCAACATGGAAATTATTGGTCTTGTGGGTTATATGAATTTCACCATTTTCACTGATCAACTCCTTAGCATTCTTGAGAAAAAGACTCACAAGTGTTTTGTGCTTACTGCATAGGAAGAAAAATAACGTCATTTAATTGAAGATTTATACATGTTATTACAATAAAGTCGAAAAATGATGTCATTAACCAAAAGAATTACAAGAAGTTGAATCAAGGACGAGGGATAAAATTCTCGGTGAAATAACAAATTAATGATAACTCACCATAGTTGAGCCTCGCGGGATAAATGCTTAAAAAAACCAGCATATGGAAAGTTGAAAATTATTCGATCAAATTTCATTTCTCCGAGCAAGTGATGATTTGAAATATTAGTAGCATCAATCCCATGCATGACCTTGCTCTCCCTATTCCTTAGCTTCTCGATGTTGGACATTGCATGCGTATAATTTGCTTTCAGAAAATCTGGAAATTTAACACGCGAAACCTTAAACGTTAAATATACACACTGGGATACCAATCTAAGTCATTGTCAAACACGACATACAAATTTCATATCGTCTAGGTAATTATACTTTTGTTACAAAAAGCAAAACATCTTCTGAACAGTAGAAGGTGATCCAACTAATCTTTTGGAGAGACAAGGTTGTAAGAAAAATTTTATTCAAGCATTAGTTTCTTTTTGAGGAGTACGATTTCATTTATTTTCATCTCTCTTTGTCCTAGGGGTTGAACTTTGATATTCTATTGGAAGGCCTCAATATGAATTAAAATAGGAACTGGCATTGACGTTAAGCATGGCAATCTACTGCAAGATGTGGTTTGTAATTTGTATAACATTTTCAAGAATATATCTGAGATTATGCTTTCTTCATAAATTTCCTCAAATTATTATTAAGATCCTCAAAATGTTACACCAATTGACATAAAAATCTAGCACATCTTACTATCAACATAACCAGATCATATATAATTGAATTTACCAGCTGAAACTGAATTTTTGTAAATGCACCTCGGAGAGAATTTTTTAAAATATCATACCTTCAGAATCGAGAGAAGTTGCAATGATGTTGGGAGCAGAACCAAAAGCCACAGCCAAACTAGCAGAGAAAGAGAAGTCTCTTTCACCCACAAGCAGTATCCTGTGGTTACTATTATAATGTTTTATCCATTTCCCTTCTGCCACCAAACATTCTATCTCCTTTTCTTCCTCAACTTTCTCCCCAGAGTCATCCGGGCCTAGCTGATTTTGGTCCTTTTCAATGAAAACAGCAGAATCCACAATGTCAAATGCGTTTTTAAGGGCAAGAGAGCAATTAAAGGTAGGTACATCAATTAACACATCCAGCCCTTTAGTGTAGTTTGAGTCTTCGTCCTCGACGGACTCTGTCCGGATTGCAGAAGAAACTGGCGGATTTTGCAGCCATGCAGCACTGGCATACGCTTCATTTTCTGTGTTTGAGTATTCCCTCTGCAATTCCAAATCTGAAGGAGGGGAATATGTATCAGCATTAACATGCGATTCAATATCTACGTCGGAATAAATCCTCTGCCATTCCAAATCTGAAGGGGGGACATAGGCAGCACTTTGGCCCGAGTCCAAAGATGAATCTGAACTAGGCGAAGAAATCTCTTGTAAAACTACATGATTTTCAACAGGAAGTATGGGGCCTGGTTTTCTTGGTTTTGCAAGTAAAATAGTACAGTAGATCTTCCTCCATAGATTCTTGAAAATCTTACACACTGATGCACAGAAAGAACATGAATGTGGTTCTTCCTTCCTTTCTTCATTTTCTCCTTTACTGCCCAAGGATTTGATGAAACTATACACAATTCCCATTTTGTTGATCGTCAAATAATTTCACTTGAGCTGCAGTGAAAGATCCTAAATTTCGATAAAAATAAATAAATAACGAAAAGATAAATATGTAGTTTCTAATGGAGTTTCTGGATTAATTTTTAGAAATCATAATCTGTTTTGGAAAGCCACTTATGCAAGTTCCCAAGAATTTTTACTTCCGCTTTTTCCTATTTTTGTTTCCAAGAATTGTGAATGGCGAAGTCGAAATTGGGAATCTCACTCGATAAGCATTCATCAATTAGCCTGTCGACCAGAAAAAAAAAAATTATCGTAAAATTTTCTTGTTTGTGCAAAAGTATATTAATTACTTATAACTTTGTAAGTAAATTCTTTAAGCTCTGCGAAATATATAACTAAAAATTCAAAATCTTGAGCTAGTAAAGTATCAAATTCATCAAACCCAAACATAATTTATCAAAATGCACTTTTACGTGAGATAATCAGTCACTGCTCTCTAATTTAGCTCATTACAGACTGTTGAAGCAACCTCCATCAAGATAATATAAGGTTTTCTACGAATGTCAAATCTGTTTTTTAGATACTAGTAAGGAAGAAGATGAGGGTAGAACTTAATTACCATATTAATTGGATCACAGCAAAATGATAGTCACCAGATGATGATCTTGTTGCATCAAATCGATCATCATCTCCTGAAATCAGCCTTACTTGATTTCACTGGCCGAAAATAGAAAGGAAAGCATAAACTGCGATTACTGTCAGGATGATGAGGAGGAAGATCAAGACATGGTTTGTGGAGATCAAAATTTTGATTTTTATATAAATTGAAGTTTTAATTACATATTTAATAGAGTTCACGACTTTCTAACCATATATTTCATCAACTTTTATCAAAATCTAAAAATCCAATTTTAATCACATCAAACTTATACTTAGTGATGAAGATACTTTGAGAAACTTGCTACTTTTGACTAGATAGTGATTATAATTTGGCTAAAGAGAAAAGCAATTTGTTGTTGCTACTTTTGTTATTTGGCACGGTATGTAGTATTAATATTTTCATTCCGTACCTTAGAAGAATATATTGAACTGACCGTACATATTATATGCAATTAAGGAGTTGATTGGGATGAAACTGCACCAGCTTTGATGGACAAAAGAAACGGTGTATTAAACAAGGATAGACGAAATCGGATGGCGTGAACGCTCGAGGAGACAGGCTCCTGGTTGATTCCATGGCATATGCTTGTTTGGTAGAGATTATAATTGGATTAGAATAAGAGGAAATTTCATATTTGATTTTGACTTCAAGTTATATGGAACTTATAATTTATCTCAAACGTGCACTAAGCACTATGGCATAGATCATATGGGCAACTCAACTTATAATAACTATTCCAGTTCATTTTTGTTAAGATACTTATAAGGATAATTTCGTCTCATTGATTTCATGAGATTTTAATATTTATATTCTTATATTGTCATTGTTGAAGACGCTGATTAATTGATTAAAGTACAAACAAAGAGATTTATTCTCAAATTGGTATTTCATTGTTAATCTGTGGTTTTGCAATTTGTCGATCATTCTTGTTTAGTAATTATCATGCATTGCATGCATTAGGTGGTATTAGACTATATTGTAACGTCCCGAAATCTTTTTTATCTTCATTATTTTATTCTTTTATAAAAATAGGCTCGACGTGTTACTAACACCTTCTTTATCTAATTTAAACGGAAATATCACTTTCATTAAGTGTTGTAAATGCATAAAAATAACCATTGAAAAATGTTCATAATATTCAATATGAAAATGTTCTTCAAATAAAAGTTTGACATTTATCTTTTCTAAAAAGTTTACTTGGTGATCTCATAATCATCACTCGATCAATCTTCCAAGTGTCCAAACGACCCGTTCTCATCTGAAAGATATTGCAAGAGTAAGTATTTTGAAAATACTCGGTAAGAATACATATACATTATTATTCACATGATATAAATATAAAATTGATATAACATACCGACATTTATTAGATTTAGAACTCAGGGAATTTCTTAGGAATCCCTACATCCCGTAGAATTTAACATATTTGAACAAATGGTCCATCTCTTAGGATTTAACATCTTTGACCCAACAATCCATTTAGAAGGATTTAACATAAAGTTCGACCCGAAGGATTTTATGTCAAAAATTATACAAATATCAAGGAATACGAATGTACCACTTTGCACGATATATTCTTACCTCAAATGACACCCAAAATTCTGAAAAAGTGGTTTGAAATGACAATATGGAAGTAAATAGAGTGTGTGTGTTAAAATAAAAATGAACTTATAAAATTTCTGACACAAAATACTTTGACCTCACACCCTATATAAATCACTAGCACAACCTTCAAGAAATTTAAAAAGGTTGGTGACATAATTCAAAACCAATGCATTCCACGATAATTAAGAATTAATTAAGTTGATTATTATTATCAAAGTTAATGGTAATTTTGTCTACTATCTTCTCATATTCCTACCTGAAAGTTTTCGTCCTTTTTTTTTCTTTTATTATTATACAAAAATAAAAAAAGGTGTGGAGAGAGTTGAATCATGTACGGAGAGTTGGCAAACTTTTCGAACAATGCAAGAAAAAAAAAAAAAAAAAAAAACTCTCCGCACTGTACAGAGAGAGTTAATCTCTTCACACAGTGCGGAGTGTTGGTCTACACCATGTCAAAACTCTTCGCACAATACGTAGAGAGTTGAACCATGTGCGAAGTAAAAGAAAGTGTGGAGAGGAAAAAAAAATCTTCGCACAGTGCGGAAAGAGTTAAATCATGTATGGAGAGTTGGCAAACTCTTCGCACAGTGTGGAGTAAAAAAAAAAACTCTCTGCACAGTGCGGAGAGATGACAAATCAACTCTCCGCACAGTACAGAGAGAAAAAACTCTCCGTACAGTGCGGAAAGTTGTTTTCAAATTCCTTAATTACAAGTTAAATTTCAAGATTGTAAATTTTTTGTATATACAACGAAACAGAGTCGAAAAACATGGCTCAAAATCAATTATGTCTTCTTTAAATTCCAGTCACAGCTCAATTTCTAAGCATGCAAATCATATTTATGGTATTGGAAATGAGCTTTCTCGTGATTCATACAATAAAACAATATGTGAGTTGTGCAAAGAAGGGGATATTGATAGTACCATGACATTACTTTCACAAACGAAGGCTCTAGGGTACCACCCAAATTCAATATTTTACACTTGCTCGATAACAACTCTTGGAGATTAGAAGCGGATACAATTTTCAATGAAATTATAATTTCGGGTTGTAAGGCAGGAATTAAAGTGTTCAATGCATTGTTCAAAAATTGTTTGAGAAAAAACCTATTGGAACTTGCAGATAAAATCCTGAGAGTTTTTGTTTTGCTCTTCACACTGTGTGGAGAGATAGTTTGTCATCTCTACGCACATTGCAGAGTCTTTTTTTTTTTTTTACTCATATGAGGAGATTTTTTGTCTCATGGAGTTTATATATATTAAAATATTTTTATTTTTTTTAATGTTATTGGCTTGATGCATGTGTGAAAGAATATTTGTCAATCACCATAAACAAAATTCTTCACAAAATGCAAAAAAAAAAATGCATAATAAATCTTCATATTACGCTAATAAAGTTACAATAATTTTTTTCTTTAACAAGTAACATAAAAAAATTATTTTTATCTTCAACAAAAAAACACATTTAAAAATTAGCAATTTCATAACCATTTTTTTTAATTCTCGAAAATACAATTATAAAAAAGGAAACAATATTGAATTACAACATTTAATACTTAAGAAATTCAATATTAAATAAATTTTATACATTTATAACAAATTATAAATCCATATATGCAGCTTACCGTATATGCTGTCTACCGTATTTGAAAATAACTTACTGTATTTGTACCTTACCGTATTTACAACTTAGCGTATTTGCAGCATACCGTATTTGCAAACAATTTACCGTATATGCTGCCTACCGTATTTGCAACTTACTGTATATGTTGTCTACCATATTTGTAGCTTACTATAATTTTATATACCGATTTTTGTACTTACAAATACTGAGAATGCAGAACACCGTACATTCACTTACCAAATCGAATTTCAAAAAAAATTTCAAATTTTTATTTTTTTAATATAAGCATAAAATAAATATTAAATATATATATGAAGCATAAAATATAAATATATATGAATATGATGCTCAATCTTCAATTTTTCAATATTGAATTACACAAAATTTAGAAATATAATCTTCACATTCAACTCAATTATATCAACACTATCAAAGAATACACGCAAAATAATTTATATAATCTCGTATATTTCTTATTCAAGTATGAAATATATAAGTATATTTTTTCTAGATGACACAATACTATTATGCAATCGTAAAAATAATTTGCAATTACTTTCTTATATCATGGAAATATTTTTAGATATTGTTTCAAAAACTTTCCAAAAAACTAAAATTCATATACTAATAAAAATACGATAAATACAAAATTCGTGCAATACATGTGACAGTCACTGTGTGGAGAGATTTTTTTTAAACTTCACACTGTACAGAGACTTTACCAACTCTCCGCATTGTACGAAGTTTTTTTTGGCCTTTTTTACTTCGTACTGTATGGAGAGTTTACACTTTGTGAGAACAGTGTCCGTACAGAATGCCATCTCTCCGCACTGTGCGGAGAATTTCGACATGGTGTTTGCCATTTGTCCGCACTGTGCGAAGAGATTTTATTTTTTTTTACTTCACACCGTATGGAGAGTTTGCCAACTCTTCGCACATGATTTGTCATCTCTCCGCACTGTGTGGAGAGTTTTTTCTTTCTTTTTACTCCACAGAAGGTTCGCCGTCTTTCCGCACTGTGCAGAGAGTTTATTTTTTTTATTTTTTTAAAGCTCATGGACGAAGAGTTTTTTTTTTCATGGCAGTTTATATTTACTAAAATTATTATTATTATTTTAATACCAGTGGCATGATGTGTAGAAAAATATTTGTTTGACATAATTATTTTTTTAATGCTAGTGGGATGATGTGTGGAAGAACTTTTTTTTTACATAAACAAAATGAAAAATAAAAAATGACATCATGCATAATAAAATTGGATTCAATTAATATTGCATGAATAGTAGACCTTCATTCCGCTTTTTATTAGAAATTAGATATGTTAATAAAATATTAAAGGTTAGCCCTTTTCTTTTTATTGGAATAATTCGGACAGTACTGACTCAAAATTACTTTTTCTTGAGTCCAAATTATATAATTTAATATGAGCTACAAAATGAATATAATATTTTATATATTTCGTCAACATCTAAAAACACTTAAATATTCGATCCAAATAGTTTACGATAAATTCTAAGTACAAGTGAGCAAAATAAATCTTCAACCTTTGAACTTTTAGGGTGACGACGAATCTAAACATAAATTATTTCATTTGCTAATTGACCCATATTAAGTTTAGACCCATATGAAAAATAGTAAAAAAAAGTTTGGCGTGTTACATATATTCCAAAGATGGTTTATGAAGGAGGTCGTGGTGTTTGAGGAGACAAAGGCGGTCATGATAATGAGCTTCAGCAAATTCGTTAATCAACTGAACGATAATTGGAGTCATGACCTTTCACACTCGTAGATCCTCTTCATTTATAACAATTGCTAGGGCCATTGGTGGGTTAGATTACTTGATTGAGTACCATTGTGAAAGCTTCTTGTTGTGCTTCTCTCTATTCTCTTCTTAGCTGTCGGAGAGTGTGTTCTACTTTTGAATCCTTTGGCTCAAGATTGATGTTCTTCTTGTCTTGTCTTCGCGTGTCAAGGATGCAAGTAAATTCATAAAAACAAACAAAAGCACTGAGATATTAAAGAGATTAAAGAAATTGAATTTAGTAAATTCAAACTAAATACAAACAATCCCAACAACAACCGTGAACAAAACTTGTTCCCTGAAATCTCACAACATATCGTAGATAAGTAATGAAGTGATGAATTTAGTATCGTTCTAAAAATATTGTTTATCTAGTTTTGAAATTATCTAAACCTAGTTTTAATAGAACGAACACATGTTTTTCTGAAATAATGTACAACAAACTTTTAGTTATATTTTGATCACATCATTTTAGACATGTCATTTCATGGTACAAAGATTTTTTATAAATTAGATTTCACCAAAGCTTATTACATTTCTTATTTAAATCATTTTAAGTACAAAGTTCAACCCCAAATGCTATTATTGGTGAAACTCTTTAATTTATAAGTTCTATGATATTTAATAATAATAGTAATAAAAATATAGCAATCATTTTTCATTATTAATGATTTTATTTAAAACAATAGCATAATGCTAACACTTCTTAAGTTTAAGGTTTGGGATATTTTACAATTGCAAAATCAAATTGGCCCATTTTTGAAACGTTGGTGTTCTACCGTTTGAAATGGAATGGAGGTAACCAAACAAAACTTAATCAGCATGCTGATCTAAAAGAATCAAAGTTCAATCACGTTATTTTCAACTTTCCTCATGCTGGAATCGACGGGTAGAAAGACATTAGGCAAATCTTCTTGCAAAAAGAATTAATTCGTATGTTTGTTTCTTTCGGATAGACCATCGAAGTCTTCGTACACAAACAATTTGCCAAGTAAATTTTTACTGCAAAGTCAATGTTTAAGAAAGTGGAAACAATTATTATATGTATTTTAGTGGGGAAGTGTTGAATGGCACTTCCAGGGATATCAAGCCATTGACTACAAAATTATTTGACATTTTCTACAAATTAAAAGGGTCAACGTATTTACTCAAAAAAATAATTTAAAAAATGAACAAAGTGGAATTCATAAAATTTTATAGCACGTGGAAATATATTTGGAATATTTGCGATTGAAAAATATTTGGAATGTTTTGAAACTACCCGTTAAAAGAGACGATCTACAAAACTTAATTTGGTCTTGTAAGGATTTTGTCACTTTGTCAGATAAATGTAACGGATGCACTGAAATAATTCGAGGTGGCAGCAAATGATTTGAAGGAAAAACAAACCATAATTAAAACAATTCAATGATGAAATGTCACGTGGCATTGTCATATATATTACGGCACTGTAGCATAATTGGTCTTGCAAAATGGGTCAACTTTCAAGACATTAGAAGAAGATCCTTACAAATTCAAACATTGTCACAATGTTTAAAGTACACTCGCGAAATAGAAATAATATTTACATATCATTATCAATGTATTTATTTTTTCCTTTACCGTATCAAGTGACTAAATGTCTTGTAAAATAGGTAAACATTCAAGACATTAGAAGCAGATCACACCAAATTCAAACGTTGTCCCGTTGTTTAAACACTCATGAAATAGAAATAATATTTACATACCATTATCAAAGTATTTATTTTTTCCATTACTGTATCAAGTGACTAACTTAACAGATGAAATTGTGCCCTTTTAAGACCAAATTTGTAAGTTTTGCTAGGGTAACAATGGAAATTTTTGTCACCCCCAAATCCACACTTGGTGTTGTAACCTTCATAATCAAACCGATTGAATTCCACAGCCTCAATGAGCCCAAGCCTGTGGGAAGAAGCCACTGATTCTAACATCCATTCTTCATGAAAACCATTGGTTTTGTGGGAAATGTGAATTTCACCATTTTCACCAATCATTTCTTTAGCATTCTTAAGAAACAAACTCACAAGTCTTCTGTGCTTTCTGTAGATAAACAGAAAACATGTCTTAAATAAAAGTCATTAACTGAAAGAATTATAAAACAAATTGACCTTAGTTGAGCCTCGCGAGATAAGTCATTGAAAAAACCAGCAAACGGAAAGTTGAAAATTATCCGATCAAATGTCATTCCTCCAAGCAAGTGATGACTTGCAACTTTTGTAGCGTCAATCCCATGCACGACAATGTACTCCCTACTCTCAAGCTTCCCGATGTTGGACATTGCACGCTTATAATTTTTCTTCAGAAAATCTGCAAATCCCACTAACGTGTAACACAAATCTTGAATATATATATATATATATATATAATATGTTTAACTAATCTAGTATCCTAAATATTCAGAAAGACAAACAAATTATCTTAGGCATGGATCCCATAAATAATAAATGGAGGTAGAGAATTTATGAAAATTTCTTACCAACGGAATCAAGAGAAGTTGCAATCATGTTGGAGGCAGAACAAAAGGCCACAGCCAAACTGGCAGAGAAAGAGAAGACTCCTTCACCTACGAGCAGTATCCTGTGGTTATTATTATAATGCTTTATCCATTTCCCTTCTGCCACCAAACACTTTATTGCCTTTTCTTCCTCAACTTTCTCTCCAGAGTCTCTCGGGCCAAGCTGATTTTTCTCGTTTTCGATAAAAACAGCAGAATCCACTACGTCAAGTGCGTTTTCGTGGGTAAGAGAGCATTGCAAAGTAGGCGCATCAATTATCACATGGAACTTTTTAATATAGCTTGAGTCTTCATCCTCGACGGACTCTGTCCGGATAGCAGAAGAAACTGAAGGATTTTGCAGCCATGCAGCAATAGCATGCGCTTCATTTTCTGTGTTTGAGTAATCCCTCTGCAATTCCAAATCAGGAGGAGGGGAATATGTATCAGCATTAACAGCGATTCAATATCTACGTCGGAATAAATCCTCTGCCACTCCAAATCTAAAGGGGGGACATAGGCAGCACTTTGGCATGAGTACAAAGATGAATCTGAAGTAGGCGAAGAAATCTCTCGTAAAACAGCACGATTTTCAACAGGAAGTATAGGGTCTGGTTTTCTTGGTTTTGCAAATAAAATAGTACAGTAGATCTTCCTCCATAGATTATTGAATATCTTACACACTGATGCAAGGAAAGAACATGAATATGGTTCTTCCGACCTTTCTTCATTTTCTCCTTTACTGCCCAAGGATGTGATGAAACTATACACAATTCCCATTTTGTTGATCTTCAAATATTTTTAAATGTGCAGTGAAAGATCCTAAATTTCGATCAGAAATATGTGGTTTCTAATGGAGTTTCTGAATTAATTTTTAGAAATCATATTTCTCTTCTTGAAAGTAACTATGCAAGTTCCCAAGAATCTTTACCTCTACTTTTTTCCTATTCTTGTTTCCAAGAATTGTGAATGGTGAAGTCGAAATTGGGAATCTCACTAAATAAGCATTCATTAAATTTTCATTTAACAAATACGGAAATCATCCCGGTGCTTAACATAAGCTAAGCACCGGTGCATAGGAAATCATTTCGGTGTGTATATATATACACACACATACATACTTATAACTTTATGTAAAAGTATAATTACTTTATAAGTAAATTCTTTAACCTCGACGAAATATGTAGTTCAAAAATCTAAATCTTGAGCTATAACTCGAAAGTATCAAACTTATCAGCTCCAAACATGAGATAATCAGTCACGGCTCACTAATTTAGCTCAGTACAGACTGGTGAAGCAATCTCCATCAAGATAATTTCAGGTTTTCTACAAATATCAAATCTGTTTTTTTAAATACTAGTAAAGAAGATGATGAGGGTAAAACTACCATATTAATTAGACCACAGCAAAATGATAGTCACCACATGATGATCATGTCACATCAAATCGATCATCATCGCTTGAAATCAGCCACACTTGATTTCGCTGGCCGAGAATAGAAAGGAAAACATAGACATCTATTATTGTCCGATGATGGGGAGGAAGACCAAGACTTAGTACGTGGAGATTAAAATCTTGATTTTTATATAAATTAAAGTAATAATTGATTTTAATTATATAAAACACAACTTTTCAAGTATATATTTTGTCAATTTTTATCAAAATCTACTAAAAATCTGATTTAATCCCACCAAACTAATTCTTAAAAACTTCAAACTTTTGACTAAATAATGATTATAATCAGGCTAATGAGAAAATCAATTTGCTGTGCTACTTTTGTTTTTCGGCACTGAAGTTTGTTATTTGGCACTGTACATATGACATTTTCCTTAGAATTAATATTTTCATTACGTACCGTCGTAGAAGAATATGTTGAACTGACGTTCATATTATATGCAATTAAGATGTTGATTGGGATGAAACTGCACCAGCTATGATGGACAAAGGAAACAGTGTATTAAACAAACATAGACCAAGTCGGATGGGATCAATTATAAGGACATTATAATTTATCTCAAATATTCACTAAGAACTAAGGCTTGGGATCAATTAATATTTGATTTTGACTTCGGAACTTATAATTTATCTGAAACATGCACTTAAAGGACTGTGGCCTGGGATCATATGGGCCTGAGTCGACTTAATAATTATTTCAGTTCTTTTTTTTAAATTTATTTAATAAGGATAATTTCCTCTTATTGATTTCGTAAGATTTTGGTATTTATATGCTTCTATTGTCATTGTTGAAGCCAGTTGATTATTGATTAAATTAAAGACAAAGAGATTCATTCCCAAATTGGTCTTTGATTGTTAATATGTGGTTTTGCAATTATTGATCACTCTTTTTGAGTCATTATCAAACCTTGCTTGCATTAGGTGGTATCAGAGTTATGTTCCGAAGACGGGTAAACTGAAGCCTTAGTACAATGGGTAGACGTTTTTTCACGACTTGCAACGGTGCTTACCTCCTTTATGGGATGTTTAGGACTTGTTTGGTTCGCATTCTTTTAGTTTATGGGTTTTATAGGATCATTTGCAACCGCACATACAAATAATAAAATATTCTACACATTCTCCCAAAAAAATTTCCTATTTTTTAACCACACATTCTTCTAAAAATACTGTTTAAAACTCATTTTCTCTCCAATTAAAGGGAATCAAATAGGCATTTAATTCCGAAACAGATTAATCATGTATGACTTCAGTTGGAAGTTCGGTTAGCCGTATGAACGATAGTGTGAGTCATGGACTTTCACACGTGCAGATCCTCTTCATCCATAAAAAAACACATGTTTTTTCTGAAATAATGTACAACAAACTTTTAATTATATTTTGTTCACATTAGAGATCTTCTTTCATGTTAGTTTTTTGATAAATTAGAGTTCACAAAAGTTTATTAGGTTTCATATTTAGATCATTTTAAGTACAAAGTTCTACTCCAATTGTTGTTATTAATGAAAGTCTTCAGTTTATAAGATATACGATGATGATGATGATGATGATAATATAGCAATCGTTTTTCCATATTAATGATTTTATTTAAAACAATAATCTAATGCTAACACTTCAAAGTTAAAGGTTTTGGACATGTTACAATTACAAAATTAGCCCTGGTTGCATGGCCATTATTTCTCAAAAAACAATGCTTTAAATTGTGAATTTTTGAAAAATGTGTGGTTAAAAAGTAGGAAAAAAATTTTATGTTTGCATATAGAATATTTTATTATGTGTGTGTATGTGAAAATGACTATGAAAAAAGAAATTGAATTTAAAGGCCATCAAATAGGGGTTTAAATTGGCCTATTCTGGAAAGATTGGATTCTTCCATTAATTTGACATGGACTGGAGGTAAACAAATAAAACTTAAACAACATGCTGCCTTAAAGAATCAAAGTTCAATCGTTTTATTTTCAACTTTCCTCAGGCTGGATTCAACAGGGAGAAAGACACTCCCATGTTGTTAGGCAAACATATCTTCTTGCAAAACGGAATAAGTTAAATGTTAGTGTTATCGGGCCCACTCGTGTCCACACCAACTAATTCCAACATTCTTCAACATATTACTAGTCAACGACGATTCGAATTTGAGCAGGGGAGAAGCTTTACAATGCAAGACAAAGATATTCAGGCTTCAACATCATATAAATAAATAGGATTGTATGGTAGGGATGACAGTGGGTCAGTTTCGGGCGTAGGCAGGGCCTTTTTTTTTTTTTTTTAATTTTCAAGTTATTCTATTATTAGAGAATAAAATACAAATTCAAAATTTTAAAATCCAAAGCAATTAATGCTCAAACTCACAACACCAATATCATTTCTTATCCAAAATTTGATATTATGTTAGGGTTGCATTTTGTTCTTTTGTAATTAATTTTAATTTTTTGTGTGCAGGACGAGATGGATTTTTCTGCCATCTCTATTGTATGGTAATGAACAATCAAAAACATATCAACTTAAGGTTAAATATCTAGCTCAAGAACTAGAGAATAACAAAGCAAAGAGAAGCAATAACTCCAATCTTCAATGCATAATGTTGCATTACCCTTCAAATGATACAAGGAGGGGTATTTATAGTGTCGCATACGAAATGGTGTCCATTGGATGAAGAGGCACACGAGGCTTCATCTCCTTAATCGAAACATCATATTCTAGGCATCAATTTAACCTCACTAGCTTGTGGCAGATTTAGCCCTTGTTTGGGCCCCATTTTTCCATTAAAATATATTTTTGAACAGTGATTTAACCATATTTTAATCATACATTTTTCAATAAAATAATATTACACACAAATCCTTTTTTTTTTAACCATAGATTCTCCATTATAATACTATTTAAAAAAAAAGGACCTCAAATAACCCCTTAATGCTCTTAAAGGAGGCAACCTCCCTGTAACTTATGTTGACAAGATTTTGACATATTACTCGTTACAGAAATCACATCAATCATTCTAATAGGATTCTATCAATAGGAGATCTTCAAAGGAAGTGGAAGACTATTGTATTGTGTCAAGAACCTTGCAAGAAAACATTCGCCACAACAAAGACACATCACACAAGAAACAAGTCCACGCATAACATGAATAATCATACATGGATTTGGAGGACTATTGTTAAGCCTCACCATCAAGACCCCCTGGACGAGCCTATGTGGCATCTCATATGGAATGGCATCTTACGAGAAGCTGGACAAGGCTCCTCTCCAATGTGGCAAAGCCCAAATATCGAAGCTCACTCACCGAAATAGTTGTAGTTCAGAGGTCCGGTCTGACGCTTGTTTGTGAGCCACTTTTTTAAACAACAATGATAATAATATGGTAATCATTTTTCCGTATTAATGATTTCATTTAAAAGAATAATATAATGCTAACACTTCTTAAGTTTAAAGTTTTGTATGTTACAACAGCAACATCAAATTGGCCTATTTTGAAAATTTGGGTTCTTCCATTTGACATGGATTGGAGGTAACCAAACAAAACTTAATCAGCATGCCGATTTAAAAGAATCAAAGTTCAATCAAGTTATTTTCAACTTTCCTCATGCTGGAATCAACGGGTAGAAAGACATTAAGCAAATATATCTTCTTGCAAAAGGGATTAAAAATTTAAAATGTTTGTTTAATAGATTTGTTTGCTTCCGTAGGTAGACCATTGAAACCTTCATAAACATACAATTTGCATTGTAAATTTTTACTGCAAAGTCAATTTTGAAGAAAGTGGTAACAATTAGTATATATATTTTAGTGGCGAAGAGGGTTGAATTGTACTTCCACGGATATCAAGCCATTGACTACAAAATTATTCAACATTTTCTACAAATTAAAGGACAAAGTGTTTCAGAAAAAAAATGAAGAAAAAAACAGATCAACAGAGTGGACTTCATAAAATTTTATATTACATGGAAAATATATTACGAATATTTGCAATCGGAAAAATATTTGGAATGCTTCGAAGCTACCCATTAAAAAAGATGATCCACCAAAAGTTGGTTTGGTCTTGTAAGGATTTAGCCACATTGTCAGAAGAAATGAAACTCATGCAGTGACATTCAAGCTGGTAGTTGATGATTTGATGAAAAAGCTAACTGTGTTTAAAACAGTTCAATAATAAAATACTACGTGGCATTAAGTCAAGAATTATGTATGATGACATTTTTGCATGATTGGTCTTGTAAAATGGGTCAACTTTCAAGACATTAGAAGAAGGCCACACCAAATTCAAACATTGTTCCAGTGTTTAAAGTACACTCACAAAATAAAAATAATATTTACATACCATTATCGAT